TAAAATAAAAATATTATCGTTCAAGCTTTTTCCCATTGATAAAAAATGTTACATATATTTTTTAATGCTATTAAGGGATTTGAATGGAGTCATTTTTAATCTACTTTTATTAAAAGAATTTTTTTTAGTGAATTTTCACCCAATCGGACCTACCAATTTATCGTCAAATTAGAATCAACGCTGGTTTGACGTTTATAAAAAAACGCGCAGTTGCTATTGTAAATGTAGCCACATCTACRACATAAATAAATATAATTTAAATTATTTGAAAAAAACTTAAGCCATTAATAATAAACAATTTTTGTTAAAACGAAAACTGTGATTCGGAGATGTTATGGAAATGTTTGATTTTCTTTTAATGTCACAAAAACTATTCAATTGTACTGTTAATTAAAAAAATACTGTTATCGCGCTCAACAATGTGGCAGCACTTCGGCGCATACCACGAGCAAACCACGAGAGCCGCACGCACACACTCTCGTTACGTATTGACATTTGTGACAGCTCGAGGAAAAGAAGATGAAATCTTCGAACATATTTTTGTGATATATTTAAAACAATTTTTTTGGTTAAACTACACATATTGTTTTGTCAAAATTAATACGTGAACGCTAAAATTTCATATACAAGTGAAAAATATTTGATTAACTCTTGGTTTTCGTCAATAAAACGTTATTGAAAAACAGGCGGTGTACGACGGGCCCCTGAGTGCTGTGAGCTAAAAGAGAGTGTAGTGTGTTGCATGCAGTGTGCCGACTTTGCATGCGGCTGCTGCCATAAGAGTCCCAACCACGAGCAGCTGTCAAACGGGAGCAGAAAATTCTCGCACAAACTGTTGGTGAAAGAACGGCATGCACTTGCGGCTACCAGCAGCAGTACGGACGTATATAAGAATTGAAAGTTACATTTGGATTACGAGATTTTTCGTTATTCAGCAACTGTACAATATTACTTTATAGGAAATCGCTTATACATTTAATATATATTTTAATTGCTGCACACGCTAACTAACCGTAACTATACCACCTACTGCCAGGCGAAGCTGAAGCCACACGTTTGTTGCAAACATGGATGTCTATGATGTTAGTGATGATCTTGTCAAGAAGCTGAACGATTGGAAGCTTATTGGCATAATATCCGGCAAATTTAATGAACTGAAAGAAAACTATTCTAAAGTTAACTTTGTTGAACATGTACTGATCGATTTTAAATATATTGACAAAATTATGTTAAATAACAAATTGCGGGAGGAGAAGTGCGATAAAAAGAGCTCSGAATATCGTATGCTAGGCAATGAGCAATTTTCGCTAAAAAATCGCAAATATTTTCAAGTAGGTTAATATTATTTAAATTACACCAGCAAATTAATTAATGTATTCTATTTTTAGGCATTAGAGCTCTACAATAAAAGTATTTGCTATTCGGAGCCTGGTTCTGAGAATCTCTCTATCGGATATGCTAATCGCTCGGCGGTGCTTTTTGAATGGAAACGTTTTCGTGAGTGTCTAGTTAATATTGAACTGGCACGTAAAGCCAATTATCCAGARCGTTTAATGCATAAACTCGATAAACGCGAAAATGACTGTCGCCAACTGCTGTCAACACAAGCGCCCGATGTTCAACCATATGAATTTCAAATGTCCTTTGAACCACATCCACAAGTACCCATCATTGCGGATTGTCTCGAAATGCAATATACCGAAGAGGAAGGCCGGTTTATTACCACGAAACGTGATCTGGTCGTTGGTGATCTAGTCGCCACCGAAGAGCCATTCTGTTCAACACTCTTGCCACCAATGCGGTATATACGTTGTGCCACCTGCAAAGTGGAAAAYTACTTATCACTTATACCCTGTGAGAGCTGTTGCTCGGTGATGTTCTGCTCGGAGCAATGTCGCGAACGCGCTGTCGCCACTTTTCACAAATACGAATGTCCCATCATTGATTTACTGCATAACATGTTCAATAAAATTCATGGCATTGCGTTGCGCGTGTGCCTATCAGCAATAGAAATCTTCCCCACCATTGAAGAGTTGATGGCGTTCTGTGAGGATCCTGAAAATCAAAATAAGTCTGCATTCGATTTAGACTTTACGAATTTTACGCCACGCGAACATTATCGCGCCATACATGGACTAGTGACGAATCGACATTTACGTTCCGTATCGGACCTATTTCAGCGCTCAGTGGTGTGCGCAGTACTGAAGCATTTTGTTATCGAGTTTACGCCATTAAAAGAGTATCTTGGCGGTGAAGAGGGTGAAAACTTTTTCACCGAACTATTATTCAGACATCTGCAAACATCGCCATCAAATATGCACGGCATCGATTTGGTGGAACAGGTGAATGAGACAAATGACGATACCACACATTCATCCGGTGCTTTTGCCTTTCTTTCGCTGCTCAATCATTCGTGTGCACCGAATACACTACGCGTATACCTGGGCACCAAGGCATATCTGTTTGTCTTCCGTCCAATACCTGCCGGCGGAGTGCTGTACGACACATATGGGTGAGTAACGGCATAATTTGCAATTATTTTTTGTACTGTTACTGTTTTTGACGTACTTTTTTAATATTGCTTTTTTGTAGTGTACATTTTGCCGTCACTACACGTGCGCAGCGTATACAAAAGCTATCCTTGCAATATCACTTCACCTGTAAATGTGAAGCCTGCGTTAACGACTATCCCAACTATGTGCATATGCAGCCTAAAATATCCGTGCCCTATGCGAATGATGAGACGGACAATGACAGTCTGATACGTTATGACTACGATTTCGCCATGGATAATTACCGTAAATACTGTGAATTCCTGACGAAACATGCGAACGCCTACCCCTGCGCCCAAATTAGCTCAGCAGAGGAATGCTTAAAAATGGCATTGCATATACTCGTCGATGCGGTGCCGTTAAAAGCTAAAATGTAAACTGCTTAAGCCACCAGAAACACACATCTAGCCACAAGCACGCAACATGTGTATGCTAACAATGTTCGCTTGCAATAAGTCAAATTTTCTTTACTTTTTTATTTTTATTTTTCAATTGATTCATACATTTGGAACACAACATCAACACACACACAAACACAAAAGTTGCATTTGCATATATTTAGTATATTTATATAGACGATGAAATATGTTGCCATTAATGATGAAATCGATGTGGCGTAAAGTATTTTCGACTAAAAACATCAACAAACGTTGATACTTGTGACGTAATCGTTTTTGTTTTTCCTAAAACGCGAAGTGTGCGCGTCCTTACTAGCATGTGTCGAGTGTTAATAAAAAAAACAAGCAATTTATTCGGCGCTCAAAGTGTTGCACATTCAATGGCGGCTTGCATAACAACCGACACTCTGGGAAGCATTAGTGCGGCAGCGTTTTTAGCACCTTTTTGGTGTTGCCACACAAAAATGCACGCATAAAAACCATATCCAATTGCAAAAAAAATAATTGTTACAACTTTTCACTTTCATACATATGTATAGAAATATTTGTGTGCAGTGGTATGTAGGTATATGAATTTAAAACAAAAAAACAAAACAAAAAAACAAGAATTGTATTCGTTTTGCGGCATTTTGCATCAGTATAACGCCAACAAACACACAACATAAGTTTTATATATATTAACATATTGAACAACTTCATTTAGTCTTAACTACAAACTTATATAGATACTATGTATGCTGCTGAAGTATGTTTTTGAAAAAGCTTTTTGTGTATATTTTCTGTGCCGCACGGTAAACGGTATTACTACTTCGAACAACAAGTAAAAATGTAGCAAAATAATTGCGATATTAAAAGCGTAAAGCGTTTGTTTAATTTATACGTAACACAGTTTTTTTTGCAAAGCATAAAGTATAAGTATACAAAAAAATTTTATTTAAAAAACATTGAGTTTGTTATGACATTCGTAAGCTGTGTAAAAAGTATTTAATTGCAATATAAAGTTTTTCACAAATGTTTACTTTTGAAGTGTAGAAATGTGAAATTTGACGGTTTTTCTCAAATAAATTTTTTTAGCGTAATGTTTAAGCCGATWTCTGATATTAGCATAGTTTTCGAACACAACAAAAAATTTTGTACATTATTTAACACTCAGCGAAGTGGCTAAAACTCAAAGCTAGTGGCATTAACTTGCTTGCGTATGACGAATACAAGTGCTACATATTGTCTAAAAAACTCAAACAAATTGTATGATTTCATGCAAGTAATGGTAAATRACTGAAAATACACACAAAAGGTTTCTTAGCAATTTCTAATCAATATCGTGTATAAATGAAACACATTATTTTTAAATTTTCATTATTTCTAGTGTTTATTCCTAAATATTTTCAATACATTTAGTGCACTACGGTGCGTTCTTAAATCTTATTTTCATTTTTAATATTATTTTTCTTGTTTTTAACAAACTTTGTAATTTCTAATTTATTCTAAAGCATTTTATTGTATGTTAAACCAGTTAAAAAGATATAAAAGCAAAGCAAAACAAAATAAAGAAAAAGAAACGAATATTAAGTAAACCAGAAAGCAACAACACTAACTTCACAAAGCAAACCCAAATGAAAAAATAATAATAAAATAAAAATTTATTTTAATAGATGAAACTAACAGCGCATAACAGCCGCTTTTTTTTACTCACAACTCCACATTTATATTTGTGTAAGTATATAGTATATATATATATACATATATACATTAGGGTGTGCAAAAAAGTCACGTAATGTTTTTTCTTTAGGTACCGTAAATCAAAAACCAAGTTGGAGCCATATGTAGAAGTTCACGCAAATGAGAAAAGTTCTCTGCGCGACATTCACTTGGGAGTGACCAGAAACGATGCTTTTACATATTGTACAAGCAGCTCACGTTTTCCGGTCTTAGACCAAATAACCTCTGCGTAGCCAAAAAACATGCATTTGAAAGCCAGCTATAGTGAGAAGGCGAAACATTCCCTCCCCGCTAGGTTTAGGACCCGCCACGTAAAAAACCCCTACATACAAACTGAATGATCAAAATAAAGTTTTTGTATGAGAAAATTTTTCATCGTAGAAGATATCTTCATGAAATTCGGCATGGGTTATTGTCTAAAGCAACGGCATAATATCTGAAGAATTTGCTTAGATCGAACAACTATAGCATATAGCTGTCATACAAACTGAACGATCCAAATCCAATTCTTGTATGAAAAATCTGTTCATTTGAGCAACGATCTTTACAAAATTTTTCATATATTATTATCCAGGATAAATCTACACGGTATCTAACGAAAAAATTAATGTTTTATGCMCACCCTAATAGTATGCATAGATACAAATATATGCGCCTGCTGAAACCATTTATTGCGCCCTCCTTATGCTCGTCAATTTAAAGTATTTGACTATATAAATCGAGCAAATCTCGATTTAGACCCAAAGCGCCGGCGCGCCCAGCATCCGCATTACGATTATACGTCGCCGGCAATTGCACAAACTCGCCTTGCGCTCGTCGCTTTGTCGTCGACAAAATCGTCGAAGAATCGGGTAATATCTCACTATTACCAAAAGCGCCAACGAAGTCATTCTCCGTTTCTAAATCTTTCTCAATCGCATACAGCTCCTCTTTGGTATCGTCCCCGCCTTTACTAATTGTTGTCGTCGCTTCATTCACATCCAAATCGAAGAATAAAATATTGCACTGTTGCAAATTCTGTTCGAATTGCTTTTGAAAATTATTTGCATCAATCGGCTGCAGATCTTCGCTATCCGATTGTGGCAAATTGAAAAGCTCCGCCAGCGGATCGGCATGTTGCTTCGTCGTCGCACGCGTGCTGCTGCAGTTCTCTTGTCGCTGTGCTTCGGCAATTTCAACACTCTTCACATACACATTCTCACCGATGCTATCAACGAATTCCTTATAATAGCTTGCCTCCATGGCACGCACAAAAGTGCCATCGAGATTTTGGAAACCGAGGCGTATGAGTAATGATATTTTCGTATTGAAACATTGTAGCCATGCTTTGTTCGTTTGATAGACGCCCCATTGACCGTCATCRCTCAACACATTCCAAAAATCGAGCAACACATTCTTGGTGAAATCGACCAACATTGTGCGTTGTGCATCGGGTCGCAGACGACAAATCGCGTCCAAGTGTCTGAAAGTTATATCGAGTAAATTTTGTGGATGTTTCGAGTTGAAAAGTTGCCATTTGTAGATCATTGTCATGAGATTCCATAATTTATCCATCGAACTTTTGTCGAGACGCATRATTGATGAGGTGGCAATATCATTAAGCATATATTTACAATGATCGACGGTAAGTAATTGCGAATTGTGATG